CAGAGTAGTCACCAGTAATGTTGCCAATGAGGGTTGTGTCATCAATGAAATCAATGAGAAGTGTCCTGATTAGAAGGAAGGGTAAGGTTTCAAAAGATGAAGGATGGGAAATGAGACAAATGAGCTACAAAAGTCATAAGGGTTGATTGCTGGTGGATCGATGTCACCCAAGGCTCGATAGTTTCTGGGACTGTATCAAAGACGTAATGCCTCAGAAAAGTTGCAAGACGTAAATCCCTGAGATAGGTTGAGGTTAAACTGACCCTATCCAAAACTGCATCCCAACCTATAAGGTCTCAACAACAAAGAAACAATACATGTAATGACAGAGAAGTTGAGGAGAGAAATGTAAGGGTATCTGAAGAAAACCCCCTCAGGATTTCAGAGGAGAGCCTTTGATAAGAGATGTAAGGAAGAAAGATACCGTAAGAGGTTGGTTTGGGTAAGACGTAGCCAAGAATATTGGTCATGGGTAAGACTAAGATTAAATTCAGGAACCACCACCCCCAAATAGATAATAATGAATTTAAGAACTGCTGGTCTAAAAAACAGATAGTCCACATGATGGTAAGACAGGGTGAATTGATCAGACTTCCTTGGGAGGCATGGCATGCTGAATCCCTCACTTAATTGCAAGAAAAATTGATCCGCATGTACCCAAATATCAGGGTAGGGAGGAAAACCAATAATGGTTGGGAAGCTTGTTCATGTAACAAGGAAGAATGAGGGGAATAAGAGATACGGGGAAAGGGACAAAACATCACAAACCTGTGACATAAAATCCGTAATAAAGACCAATTTAAGCCTAGATGATTTTTCAGTCTGTAAATAGGAAGGAACAGCAAACTCAGGAGGCTGGAAAATACAATTAAAGTTCCTGTCATTCTGGATAAGATCAGCTGACTCAGGAAGAGCCTGGAAAATGTCAGGGGACAAAGGTTGACCCATATAGTGCTTAATCTCACAACATATAAAAGCAGAGAGATCTACCATTTGGTTGCCCACACCTGAGGCCTGAAAAAACACTGGTCATTGGTGTGACCCCTGAAGTGGTAATGTGAACTTTGGAATTCATAGCACAAGAAAAGATTCATAAAAGTCCAGTGCAGAAATAGAGTGACATGAAGTAACTGGTATGAAATAAAATAAAGTCAAAAGGAATGACTTGTGTGAAAAACAAATTTGTTTGTCACACTGGAAGCACTGGGTTCACAAAAGAATACATCTTAACTCAAACCCCGGCAAATAAGAAGTGAAAATTCAGTAGAGGAGTGTGGAGGGAGTCACATGCATCATGTGAGCATATCATGCTACTATTGGCTAAGAGATGACACATGATGATTTACACGAGAGACATGTTGGAATATAGTAATTCCAAAAGGGGGAAGAGCGGAAGGCTTGTAGCCTGCATAAAGAAAAAGTAAGTACCATCTCGGAACTATAATTTTGTATTTCATCTGTAACTAAATATCACTAAAATGATCAAACTTGGATTTCTTATTGTTTAAGACTCATGATACTACTAATAAATAAATATTTAATTTTGAATAAGTTACATACATCAATATTTACAGTGTTAAATTACTTATTTTACTGATAGTTGAGCAGGTGGTGTGAACAAGGCTCCAGTAACATGGCCAAAAGCTCACAATAAAGAATACAATTTAACATAGTGAATATGTATGTTCAGTTTCCTGATAAGGGCTTTGATAAAAAGGCCAAAATTCAAAATAGAAAAAACATGATTTAATTCAGTGAATGTCAATTTACTCTATTTAATCAAAACTTAAAGCAAATTGTTTCCCATCCTTTAGTCAAGTAGTAAAGTTTAGCCAAATTTGTACTGCTTATATCATTTTGGGCTATGCAAAATGAAATACATAAATTTTAGTATTTTATTGATGTTCTGTTTAAAAATTCATAATATTTAATTGAATCAAATAAAGAAGTTATGATTTCTTCAAGTGAAAATATTTAATGCTATATACCAAAAATTATTTTTTTAATGTTATTGTGCTAATTTGTCAGCAACAAAAAATAAAAGATTATAGGCATTTGATATTTTGAATCAGAACATTTTATGCAACACATGAGCTAAAGTGCCAGGTTCAGATAATGTAATTCCTAATACTGAACTACTAGCAAGAGGAGGAGGGCAACAAATACCACCTATGATGACATGGCTCTCTCTCTCTCTTATAATGGAAGCATATTTAGCAGAATATCACAGTACAAATCTCAAACCTTCTGATCCACAGTCTGCTACACTACTACACCCAGATCAAAATGCAAAAAATCTATGCTCTTACAAACAAAATATTCAAAATACCTAACACAACTGAATCAGATATTATAATTATTACAGAGCAATGTAATGAAATTTTCTTAATTTCATGGAGAAAACAAGTTATAATTTTTAACAACTGATAAAATAAAAATTTCACAGTTCAGTAACAAAACTGCTGCTGGGATAACAGAATCAAATATCTTGCATGTCTATCAACTATGAAAACATAACAAACTACATTTAAGCAAAGTTCAAAATAAGGATGTGATGAATGAAATGGTATAATGTATGCATTAAACCCAAATACTGAGAATCAATTGCTCCAATGGACTATACATATTGACATTGTTAAGTCACACATACAAGTGTTTGTTATGTTTTATTTATAATTGTGTTCGAATTTTGGAATTTTATGTTTCTTTAGTTTGTTTCTGGACATCATTCTTTTTTAAAGATTTTGCACTTCTGTTTTTTCAAAATTACCCAAAACATTCATTTTTCAATCAATTTTGGTTGTTGTCTATATCAACCTTGTATAAAATACAATATATGAATATATTTAATATATGAATGCTAAAGTTATAATTATGGAAAGAGTTCCATATGGCACCCCCCCCCCCCAAAAAAAAAATTGTAGAATTGCCTGGATAAAAAAATTCTGAAAAGGGTTTATTTTAATGGGTGTATTAGAAAAATTGGGGCATGGATTTGACAAGCATTTGTGTGAATACATGTGGAGAACATTATATTCTGAATAAGTAGCCTTTTTGATGCCTTTATACAAAACATTTGTAAAGTTTATCCCCAAG